TTGCTCACTACTGATTGTACAATATCAGTCATTCCTTTTCCTATTACTACCTTTTTAGATGATTCAGATTTTCAACACCAAAATGTGTGTTTTCATATTCTCTCTGAGCTAGCTCCCAAAGGATCGGGGGTAGGACTACAACCATATTCACTGCTGTAATGGCCCGTCTATTTCTGTGATCTCAGCCTTAAGAAACTTAGTTAGTTTGCAATCTGCTTGGCCATATTTTGGGGTGAATCCCGAGAAATCAATCTCTTTTTGTGGAATTACTATGAAAATACCTTTTTCTGTAAATCCTCTTGCTGCTTTATCAGCAAAGGGATTTCCCAGTTCCAGAGTGATTTTCCATTTCTTGTGACTTCTACAATGCATGGTAGCTACTTCTGCGGGTTTTTTAATGCTCTCTAAGAGGCCAAGTATTTGTTCAGCGTGATTGATTTGATTCCCTTGAGTGTTCAGAAGTCCTCTCTCCTACCAGATGGCTCCATGGATATGGCCAGCACTAAATGCATATTTAGATCAGTCCATATATTTCCCTTGTTTCCTTAGCTTGCTCAAGGCAGCAATGATCTCCTCAGTCTCCTACTCCTCCTCCTCCTCGGAGCTGCTCGAACCACAGTGGTCCCACTGTGCTGACTGTGCTGGAGTATCAGATGTGCTCCCACCCAGGATGCTCGCTCTGAAATCGCTGAGCGTGACTGCCAGCGCCGTGGGAGCCGGGCTGTGTCTGGGCTGGCTTCGGCGGCGTCATGTTGTGAGTCAGCTCCCGGGAGTTCCTGGTTGCCATGGGACTCCCGGGGCTAAGATCGGAGCGAGCCCCGCTCCCTGCGGAGGTTCCATCCCTGGCCGCTCGGCAGAATGCTCTGCCCGCCGGCTCCTGCACCGGCCGGGGCTGGGGACTGCACATGCCGCTGTCCCCTTGCCCCGGCCCCGGCCCTCGCTGTGACTGTGGCGGTGACGGTGACAGCATTGGGAACAGGGGCCCGACCAGCGGGGCTTGAGGAGTCGCAGCTGGAGCCGGGCCCGCCGCGTCTTCGACTTTTCCTGGAGTGTCCCCCGGGTGTGTCGTCCCCCCACACCCCCCCCCCCCCCCCCCCCCCATTGGAGTGTCCCCAGCGGCCATGGAACCCCTTGAGGTGTTGCAATACCGGGGTGGGGAGGTGGGAGGGAACGGGGGGACCTGGGGCTGACATGAGGTAATGGAGGGGTGGAGGGGATCGAGAAGGGCACAGGGTCCATTGCAGGAGGCCAGAAGTACCATGAGGTCCCTGCTACCTCCTCTGTCCTCTCCCCAGCAGCTGGAGCTGCTGATGGTCATGGTGGTCACCCTTTAGTGAACTGGTGACCACTGTAACTTTGCTGAACAGGGACATGCTGCTGGCCGTGGGCCCAGGGTCTCTGTACATGGCCCTGACAAACTTCACCTGGCACCTTCGTAAGACCCTGAACCACTGTGGTGTCATCTCCCTGAGCCAATCCCTGGCCAACTTTGAGGCCAACCTGGAGGCCACCTGGGCCCATGCCCATGTGAGAGCCACGGTCTGCAATTAGCGGCACGCGGTGGACACACTCACAGAGTGCTGGGCCCAGCTGACTGAGGAGGTCACTAAGCTCTGCAGTGACTGGAAGGCTGCAGCGACCAGAAGACAACAGCGGGTGGAGGTTGCCCTGGGGAAGCTGGAGAGCTCGATGGCCACATGTGACAGAGCCATGGGGATCCCCCTGGAGCTGTGGTGCCCACTCAGGGACATCGAGGCCTCCCTGGGGTGGAAAAAACAGATGTCTCCTGATATCCCTGAGGCCTTGGTGGCCATACATGAAGAAGTCACCAGGTTCCCCTGGGAGCTGCACTCCCAGCTCAGAGAAGCTGAGTTCAGCCTGCAATGGATTATGGAGGGGTCCCCCAATGTCCCCAGAGCCTTAATAGACAAAGTGCCTGAGTTTGAGTGGCTATGGGAGGCCAGCGCCTGCCTGGCCATGTGTCATCTACTGTTGACACTTTGAGGCATCCGTGCACTCCTCGAGTCGCTATAGTGGCCACAGTGGCCTTGATGGCCACTCGGTGGCTGAGCGGTGCCAAAAAGCCATCAAGGACTTCCCGAGCCTGCTGCAGGGGCAGCAATGTCACTGCTATGACATCATAGGAGCATTGACATCATTGGTGAAATCTCTGCTAACACGTTTCCTCTGCCCCTGTCGTGGTTTACAAGACAGGTGTCTGCGAGGGAAGGCAGAAAAGCCTCCCTTGGAATGGAGAATGTAAACCCGCTCCCTCTGAGTTACTGGAATTTTGAAATCAAGGGGCTCTCAGGCAAAGATATGGGAATAGGAAGAGCAGTTCTTTACTAGCATGTATAATAAAGCAAAGTAGCAGCAGCAGCTGCGGCACGAACAGCAAACAGAACAGGAACCCAGTCCCGGCCTTCCGGCCACGGCACTTTCCCCTTTGGTGCTGTTCCGGGCACAGCCGGCAGGGGCGCTGGTGGCTCCCGGTGGGCAGGGCAGGTGCGATGATCTCCATGCGCCTGCAGGGGGCGCTCCAGCGCAGGCTCGGGGAGCACGCGGCAATGGCGGCTTTGTCCGAAGGTGGGAAGGGATTGAGGAGAGGCTTTGCTTCACAAACCCTGGGGACGCCGATCCCTGTGCCCCAAGAGGACTGGAGCAGCAGCAGGCTGGAAGGGCAGGGATGAGCAGGAATCCTGGGGCGGTGGACGAAATGTATCAGAACTCCACGGCATTAGCTGTGTGATAGATGAGTAATGCAATGGTTGACTCTCACAATTAAAAGGCAAATAGCATGTATATATATTAAGATAAGTTTTATAGATTTATCGTTGTGTTTTACCCCGCTTGCATTGTTATCGGGATGGCCTGGGTTCGGGACATTTGGGAGGGTTGGCTCATTACTATGGCAGCACCTGACCTCCAATCAAGATTTAAGGAAGTGACCTCCACCACTGGACACTGAAGAAAGAGTTGATAGGCAGAACTTTGGGAGGGGTTAAAGGGTTAAAAGGTAAAATCTCCATGGTGTGGATGAGCACATGGTGGGAAAAATCCTCTTCTCCTGGCGCCATATTATTTTCTCTATTCAGTCTTTTGTTATATTTTTGATAAGGTTTTAATAAACCTTTTAAATTCCTGGAAGTGAGCATTGTTTTTCTTATAGTTGGAATCTGCAGGATATCCTGGTAGGGCAAGGGGATGCGGGGCCCAGTAGCAGAAGAAGGGTTTCCTGCTGGGTTATGGTGGTGGCAGCGAACTCCTTTCCCCAAGCCACAGGTCCAACCGTCCTCCTACAAACCTGAAGCAAGACAGAGAGAGAGAGAGAGAGAGTGGCTGCCCCCAGCCCCATCCCTTTTTACCTGTCCCCACTCTTGGAGTATCTCTGCCCCCCACCCTGAGAGAAACTCCCAAGAACCAAAGGAGTTCCCCCTCCACGCCTGTCTCATGCAGCCAGACATCAGTGCCTCTCAGCAACTCCATGGGAAGAAATTCTACAGTTAATAAGAGCAGAAGAAACCCAACCCCCAACCCCCACCTCCCCGCGCAGGATTTGAGACATATTTGGGGAATTTTCATTGCAATTGTCCCAAATCCTGATGGGAATTCCTGGGGTGACATCCCTAGGGACACCTTGGGACATTCTGAGGACGCTGTGGGAACACTGATAGGTGTGGGGGTGGGGATAGATGGGGGGTGAATGAGCTCCTTCGTATCTTGTAACAGAGGCAGCTTTCTGCCATGTCTGCAGCAGAGGCAGGTTATAAATGACAATAGAATAATCAGCTTTTCCATTTCTGTATTGGCTTTTGCAGGTTGTTATTGATGACAAGTATTTTGCTCTGTGTTATGGATATATATTATAATATTGGCTTTTTGTAAGTATTAAAATGGATTTCATATGTGTAGTGTTAAAGTAACTTTGTTATAAAGATTTAGTTTTTATTTCTGTTGCTAATTAAGCTTAGTGAAATGGCTGATAGAAGTATGCTTGTGTTAAAATGCCTGCTGGGGTGGGATAACATCCAATGAGCACAGGATGAGGACACCTGGCTACAGATCTGCCAACTGTCAGCACTCACTGTCTGGAGACAGTGTGGACCAAGGCCCAAAAACTGGAGGTGATGATAAAAAAAGGACCAAAACCACACCCAGGGAATCTGCCGGCTCTAAAAAGGCAGATGCGAGGAGGAGCCATGCTAAACAGTTCTTGGAACATGTAAACATGTTTGGGGAAAAGTTTAGTATGCATAATTGTTTATGAATATGTAACAGGCTGGTGCAGTAGAAACTGTATTAAAAGGTTGTTTCCAAACTAGCATTTGTGCTCTTGGCTGAGTGCCAAGATGAACCTGTAAATCTGCTTTACTGTCTCTGTCTCCTCTTGTCCTTTATTGAACTTCTAAATTTTCAGAGGATAGTGAATGTGTTTTTCACTCCAACTGATCCCAAATCCTGCTGGATCCCAAGAAATGATCCCAAATGATCTCAAATTCCAGTTCCTGGATCCCAAAAAATCCCAGATGCCAAGTCCTGCTGGTTCTCCAAAAGCAATCCTAAAAATCCATTCCAAATCAGGGTCCTGGCAGGGGAAACCAGAGCCCTGGATGTGGTAAACGAGCCCTGAGGCGGTTATTGGGGTCCTGACAGGGCAAATTCTTCCCCTTGAAGGAAAATCAGGGTTTTGTGGCAATAAACATCGTCCTGAAAGGGGTGAATGGGGTCCTAGAAGGATAAATGGGCTGCTGAGGAGAAAATGGGTCCTGAAGGGATAAATGAGGGCCCTGAGGGGTTCAGTGAGGTCCTGAAAGGATGAAAGGGGGTAAATCAAGGTCCTGGCAGGGGAAATCAGGACCCAGAGGGGTCATTGGTGTCCTGGCAGGGAAATGGAGCCCTGGAGGATGGATCTGGGCTTCAAGGGATTAAAGCCAGCCTTGAAAGAGTCCCTGAGGTCCTTGCAGGGCCAGTTCTGCCCCTCGGGGGAGGATAAGGGTGTGGGGCCCTCCCTCCTCCAAGAGCCTCAACGCCCTCAGCCCTCAGAGCTCTGGCCACAGCCTCTGGATGAGGACAGGGATGGAGCACAAGGTGGGAACTCCAAAACCCCGGGGTCACCCCCATTGCGTACCTAAGGGGATTTGGGGGGATCTGGTGGGGATTTAGTGAAGTTTAAGAATTCCCAGGCCCGTGGGTGCATATGGGAGGGAAAAGGGGAGTGGAAAGTTCTGGAGTTTGGGGAGTTCAGAGGGGCCGGTGGGGGGGGGGGGGGGTGAAAGGCGGGTAGGACCCCCCAAAATCTCACCTGGGTGCCTGGAAACCCTGAAACCTCCCTGGAGCCTCATCTGGGACACCTGGGAAACCCCAAATCCTTGGGAATTTTCACCTGGGACCCTCCAAATTTTGCTTGGGAGTCCCTTGGGACCCTCACCTGGACACTTGACCCCCCCAAATGCTCACCTGTGCATCTGAGAAACTAAAAATCTTTGGGAATTCTCAGCTGAGAAGTCCCAGACCCTTGCAGAACCTCAAATGGAAGCCCCAAAACTTCCACTGAGAGCCCCGAAACCTCACCTGGGCCCCCCAAAACTTCACCCGGGGCCGGTTCAATCTCTTGGGAGCCTCACCTGGGACCCCCTTGACCCCTGTGTACACCCTGACTCCTTTGTGCTGTGTCCCCTGCTCACCTGGGACCTCCCCCAAACCCCATCTGGGATCTCCAAACACCACCTGGGGCCCCCCAAAACCCTTTCAGGGTGACCAAAAGCTCCCTCAGGATCCTCCAAATTTCACTGGAGCCCCCCACCCTCCAAAAACTGCACCAGAGTTCCCCCAACCCTACTTGGGTCACCCTTGAATACTCCTTAGGACCCTCCAAAAACTCCCCCAGAACCCCCAAATCCCCACTTGGACTTGCTACCCCCCCCCCCCCACCCAGAACCCTCCAACCCCTCCTCTACCTCCCTAATCCCCCTTTCCTGTCCAGTGGCTGCGCGGCGCAGGGCCCTGGTGGCCCTGGTGGCCTTGGCCAAGGCCTTGGAGACATCGGACAGCGTCCCCACCGCACTGGCCGGGGCCGAGACCACCCTGGGCCAGGCCCAGGTGACCCAGAAGAGGCTGGAGAGGGCCTGAGAGGCCACGGTGGCCCCGACGGTGGCCCTGGGAACCCTGGGGGATGAGGACGAGCAGTGGCTGCGGCAGCACGGGGCCAAGGCTGAGGTGGCTCCGGCGGCGCTGAAGCACGAGGAGAGATGGGCACGGCGGTGCCAGCACTGGCTGCGGGCTGGGCACGGGCTGGCCATGGTGCTGATGGTGCTGTGTGGTGGTGTGTGTGAGTAAAAACCTGTATGGACCAGTATAGACCAGTAAAAACCAGTAGAAACCATTATAGAGCAGTATGGAGCACTTTGGAGCAGTGGGAGGCAATATGGACCAGTATAGACCAGTATGAATCAGCATAGGCCAGTATAAACCAGTCCAGACCAGTATACATCTTTATAGAACAGTGGGAGGCAGTGCAGACCAGTTCAGACCAGTTCTGATCAGTGCGAGTTTTTAGAGACTAGGAGGGACTTTCTCTTACCAATATAGACCAATATAGACCAATATAGACCAGTACAGAGCTGTGGAGACCAGGTCAGACCAATATGAATCAGTATAAACCAGTTCAGACCAGTATGGAGCAACATGAATATCTACAGACCAAGAGAGACTTTCCCCTGCCCTGACCAGTATAGGCCAGTTCAGACCAGTATAGAGCACTATGGACCAGTGTAGAGCTGCAGGGGGCAGCAGGGGATGCAGGGAACCAGTACAGACCAGTTCAGACCAGTATGGAGCCCTACCAACCAGTAGAGACCTTCCCTGCCTCAGGATGGGGGCACTGGGATGGAACTGGTTACACTGGGACAGGGACACTGTGACAGGACTGGGGAAACTAGGACAGGACTGGTGACACTGGGCTGGTGACATTGGTATGGGGACAATGGGGCGGTGGCACTGGGATGGTGACATTGGTATGGGGACAATGGGGCGGTGGCACTGGGATGGTGACATTGGTATGGGGACAATGGGGTGGTGGCTCTGGGCTGGCAGTGGGAGCACTGGGATGGAACTGGGGACACTGGGTTGGTGACATTGGAATGATGACATGAGGGTGGTGGCACTGAGACAGCCCTGGTGACAATGGGGTGGTGACAGTGCGATAGAACTAGTGGCACTGGGATGGAACTAGTGGCACTGGGACATAACTGGGAACACTTGGGATGGGGCATCGGGATAGAACTGGGGACACTGGGGCACAATTGGGAACACTGGGACAGGGACACTGAGATGGGATGGGGGACAGTGGGTCAGGACTGGGGAAACTGGGGTGGGACTGGTGACACTGGGATGAGGGCACTGGGGCAGAATAGAGGACACTGGGGTGAAACTGGAGGCACTAGGATTGAAATGGTGACACTGGGCTGGTGCCATGGATGGCACTGGTGACACTGAGATGGGACTGGTGACACTGGGATGACTTCCTGTGTTGGTGGTACTGGGATGGAACTGGGAACAGTTGGAGGGGACACTGGGATGGAGACATCAAGAAGGGAGTGGGGACACTGTGATGGGACTTGGGACACGGGGACACAACTGGGACAAGATGGGAGACACTGGGATTGGACTGGGGACATTGGGAGGGAACTGGGAACACAGGGACTGTGACATTTGGATGGATCTGGTGACACTGGGATGGTGACACTGGTATGGGGACAAGGGGGTGGTGGCACAGGGCTGGAACTGGGGCGCTGGGCTGGCACTTGGGAGCACTAGGATGGTGGCACTGGGACAGGACTGGTGACACTGGGGTAGTGACATTGGGATGGAACTTGTGGCACTGGAATGGAACTAGTGACATGGGGGTGGTGACACCAGAGCAACGCTGTTGGCACTGGGGTGGTGACACCAGGACAGAGAAACTGAGCTGGAACTCGGGACAGTGGGAGGTGACTGGTGACACTGGGACAGGGATACTGGGATGGGACTGGGGACACTGAGATGGTGGCACTGGGACAGGACTGAGGACACTGGTCCTGCAGCTGGGTTGCTGACACTGGGCTGGTGGCACTCCAGTGGTGACAGTGGGACAGAAGTGGTGGCACTGTGATGGAACTGGTGACACTGGGGTGATGACACTGGGGCAGTCCTGGGGATGCAGGGCTGGTAGCACTGGGATGGAACTGGTGCCACTGCTCTGTCCCTGGTGCCACCAGTCTGGTGCCACTAGACAGGTGGCACTGCCGTCTCCCTGGTGCCACCTGTGCAGTGTCCCCGTGTCCCCACAGTGTCCCTGGACTCAGCCCGCGCCGCCCTGGGGGTGAGTGAAGACAATCACCTGCTGCTGGACCTGACTATGGTGGCCGTGTCCTGTGAGGTGGCCTGGCGGGGTTTGGGGACATCACAGCATCACCTGGCCACCGCCGCGTACCACCAGCGGGACATGGCCCTGAACATGCAGGACCATGCCTGGCAGGTGGCAGCCGCCAGGGCCAGCACCAAGGCCGCCACGGCCATCAACGAGGCCACTGCAGATGAGCTGGGGGAGCTGGAGGAGGTGACACAGGAACTGGGGATGTTGGTGACAGCTGTCACCCAGGACAGGGAGGTGACACCTTGGGGGACACAGGGACAGGGCTTCCCCAGAGCTGCCTGGGCACTTGGGGACATCCTAGTGGGCTTGGGGACATTGCGTGAGGGGCACGAGGAGGTGACGCAATGGCTGGAGGCGGCCCAGAGAGCGCTGGTGGGGCAGGATAGGGACAGGGTGGGGACATTGGGGTGGCACTGTCATGGCCAGGGCATGGGGCACCCTGAGGGACATTGGGGACCTTGGGGACACCCCCATGTCCTTTCCTTGGAAACGCCCAGGCCACATTGATATCCCCTGTCCTGTTTTGGGCCATCACAATGTCCCTGATGTCCCCACAGTGTCCAAAACAGGATCCCAGTGTCCCCAGTGTCCCCAACAGGACACTGGGAGACATTTGGGCCATGTTGGGGACATGGGGGGGACATCGAGGCCTGTTGGGGACACTCAGGGGACATCAGGTTCCTGTTGGAGATACTGGGGGGACATCTGGGCTCTGTTGGGAGCCCTGAGGGGACACTGGGGATATTGGGCTCCTGTTGAGGACATCAGGGAGGACATTGAGGCCCTGTTGGGGACACTGAGGGGATACTGGGGTGTGTTTGGGACAGCAGGGCCCTGATGGGGACTCTGGAGGGGCATTTGGGTCCTGTTGGAGACCCTCAGTGGACACTGGGGGCATGTGGAGACCCTGAGGAGACATCGGGGTCTCTTGGGGGCCATCAGGGAGACATCGAGCACCATGCAGGTGGGGAGGGCGTGGCTGGGGTGGTGATGTCACCTCATCACCTCTTCCTGTTTACTGCTGGCTGCCCCACATTCCTGCGTGTCACCCGAGTGGCCCTGGACGTGTCCCTGGCTGTCCCCTGAGGCCATGGAGCCCCGTGAGGTGAGGTTCGACAATCCCCTTTTGGGGAGGTGGGAGGGGACAGGGCTATCACAAAGGGGACAGAGGTGTGGCACGAAGGAGGGAGGTGACAGAGGGGGGGACCGAGGGAGGCAGAGGGGAACAGTGGAGGGTGGCAGGGGTTGGGAGAGGCAATGAGGGGATGACAAAGGGAAAGAGGAGACAGCAGAGCCCTCCAGCGAGGGGACAAAAGGGGACTCCAGGAGAGGAGAGGGGGCACCCCAGGAGGCTATGAGTGCCACGAGGACTCCATCACCTCCCCTTCCCCTCCACAGTTGCTGGAGGCGCTGGTGGACGTGGTGGCCGTCCTGGGAGAGCTGGCAGTTACTGTGGCTGGGCCCTACGGGGACGTGCTGCTGGCTGTGTCCCCACGGTCCCTGCACACGGCCCTGGAGACCTTCATCAATCACCTCTGTCGCGCCCTGAACGACCGTATTGCCCCCCCCCCCTGGGCAACGCCTCCCTGGGCCGGGCCCTGGCCGCCCTCGGGGCCACCCCAGGGGCCACCTGGGCCCATGTGAGAAGTGCGGCCAGCGCCTGGCGGGACCCGGTGGCCGCGCTCAGGGAAGGCTGGGACCAGCTGGCCAGGGAGGCCATCGAGCTCCGTGACGCCTGCAGGGCCGCGGCCACCAGGGAGGCCACCACAGCGGCCACCGCCACCACCCTGGCTGGGGATCTGCAGGTCGAGGCCACACAGTGGGGGACAGCCACGGACAACCTGGTGGCCACGGCCTGGCAGGTGCCGCTGGCCCTGGACAAGGAGGAGGCGACCTCAGCGCTGGCTGCACATGAGGCCTGGGTGGCAGCGGCCACCAACAAGGTGGTGGCGGCCACCAAGGCCACGGAAGAGACCGGGGTGGCCACCAGCGAGGCCAAGGCAGCCAGCAGGAGGGAACAGCGGGCAGAGGTGGCCCTGGAGCTGCTGGAGCGCTTGGTGGCTGTGTGTGACAAAGCCACCACGTTCCCCCGGGAGCTGCAGCGCCGGCTCGGGGACATCGAGGCCACCCTGAAGGGGACAAATGAGATGTCCCCTGATGTCCCTGAGTCCTTGGTGGCCGCAGTGGCCAAGGCTGAGCGGCTGTGGGATGCCAGTGCCCGCCTGGCCACACGTTACCTGCAGAAATCACTTGGGAAAATCCGCAACCTCCTCTCAAGTTGTCCTGGTGGCTCCGGTGGCCCTCATGATGCCAGTGGCCCTGGGGTGGCTGAGTGGTGCCAAAAAGCCATTGAGGACATCCCAAAGCTGCTGCAAGAACAGTGATGTCACAGCTGTGAGGTCATCAAGGGTAGCGAAATCATCGGGGACACTCTGGGGCCACACAGGGACACTCAGAACCGTTGTTGCAGCTTGGGGGCATGATGAGGCAGCTTTCCTCTGTGGGTGCAGCAGACTATTTCTCAAGCCTCCTCAAAAACCTTCAGGTCCCTTTCCCTCCATGGGCAGTTTCACCTCAAATGCCCAATTTCCCTGCACTGCTGACAGATTGGGCCTCGGTTGTTCAATTGCCCTTTCCCCTTTTAGGGTCCCTCCCCCAGGGAGCTCTGTTCCCATTATCCTCCCCCTACTCCTGCTTGCCTTGCCCTGACAGGGGCTCAATTCCCTCTGGGGGTGGGTCCTTGCACGTCTGGTTCCCCTCGGCAATAGCGGCTGCCATTCTTTTCCCTTTCCCCATGGCTTTCTCCTCATCCCACCATACACTGACCTTCTGGGCTTCTTTTAACAGGTCATTCAACCCCTTATCTTGGCATTCCCTTTCTAGCTTCTCCTTATATCCAGCCCAGCATAAGTGACAAAGTTTATCTTCAATAAAGCTTGTCCAGCTTTTGTATCAGTCTACACCCGAGTATTGTCTCGTATTTCTTTTTAACCTCTCCAGCCATTCAGGTGGAGTCTCATCCTTCTTTTGTTGTTCAGCAAATGCCTTGTGGGTGTTCTGAGTTGTTGGAGCAGCCTCCCTAATGCCCCTGACAATTAATGCTCTATAATCTTCCATGTTCTGCCTTCCCCTGGGGTTAAGGTGATCCCAATTAGGGCATTGCAAGGGCATTTTCTTCTCCCCAGCGGCCCATGGGGTGCGTGTTCCCTCTCCCAAATGCACATCCCTGCTGCTCAGATCATTTGTCTTTCCTTGGCTGTTTATTACAGATTGCACTTTGTCCCAGGTATAAACACTGGGTTCCAAAAATTGGTCTACTTGTTCTGCTAATCTGATAGGATCTTCTAGCAGAACTTTTAATTCCTTTTTAAATGCTCTCACTTAAGTGGAATTAAGTGGGACAGTCACAAACCTGATTCCCCATGTGCCCCTCCCAATGGCACTTCCCAGAGGGGGTTAGTGCCACTGCTTGGATCTCATTTTTCCATTCCTCTCACTGGATGCTCTGCTCCAGGTATTCTGGCTGGGTCCATCAGGGGGTGCAGGGGGTGCAGGGGCTGCCTGCAGATATGGTGGGGGCAGATACTCTAAGGGGTCCCAGGTTTCATTTCTTTTAATTTAAATACGTTGGTCTCCCCCAGGGAAGCCTCGCCCTTCCAAGTGGCAGCAGAGTCACTTTTTTCCTGACTGACTGGTTCTTTGGCATTCACATGAATATTCAAAGTTGGCATATCCACCCCTCAAAGGAACTCATTTTGGCCAGATCAATGATGAATGATCAGATCTTATCTCCTGATTAGTCTATTTTCTCATATAATAATGTATCGTTTTGATTTTATTTTTATTCTTTTTGTCAGGGTTATGTTCCCACTCTGCTAATTTTATTCCCAGGAGGCTATCTGGAAGTGTATCCATCAATGTTTCCCTGTTCTCCTTTTCCCTTGGGGTTTTCTCCTTGTTTGCTTTGAGTGCCATTTTCTCACCTTATCCAGGCATCAGCACAGTCCACACACCTTTTTTTTTCCTTCTTTCTTAACTTCCAAGCAATTCTGTCTCTCCTCCTTTCATACGTATTTTTCCAGTCCTGCTGGGGCCTTGTTCAGGCTTGGGGACCTAAATGCTGTTTTCCCACACACTATTTCCTTCAGAAATTTTACATAAATTAATGCCAGATTCCTGGCTCTCAGTTCGACTTTTTCATAGTCCTTGCACCAGGCACTGTTTTGTGTGGGTGTGCAATGCCACCTCTCGTGGCAGATCTTACACCATACCCAAGGTTCACATCTGAGTACATAACTTAAATACAAAACTACACTTATACAGACAACACAAACATTTATTTAAAAATTTATTCAGCTAGACAACAAACACTTTGCTTTTCCCTGCCCACCTCGGTCACCTGAAAAGCGGAAGTGCAGATCGAAGCTCCTTGTTTGTTTTGTGCTGAAGTACATCTCATTCACTCAACAGTTACATCCATCAATCACTCAAGACACAGGACATAAACTTTCACTTCCCACTCTCCTCCTTTCCCATTCACACTTTCACACAACACTGAGGTGTAGCAATGGGGAACAAAGAGACACGGATCCCCTTACGCATCAGAAGGGATCACTATATTGTTGAAATCACTCCTTGTTTATACCTTTAATCTCAACCTGACACACCAGACCTCAACAGATTAAGGGCACTGATTGGCTGGCTCAGCTGCAGTGCTGCTTTCCACACATCCTATCACCCAGTTAGGTTCCAATTCATGTGCTGTCCACACGTTCATCCCCATAACTGCCTCTCACCCCCACAGCTGACCTCCAACCATCCAGCCTGCAGCCGTGCCTGCCCCACAGGGCCTTCTGTGGGCATAAGCCTTAACAACTCGAAGAAATATCACCCCATATACCACATCTCCCTCTTTCTTTTCTTTAGGCAACGAAAACCTACTAAGAAAAATCTAAACAACTCCTAAAACATTAATAACAGTGACAACAATAATAACTTCAACAGCATTTTAAAAACTGCAACATATGCCTATAACATAGCATCTATATGCACATGGGATCAGGACAGTGGGACAAAAGGATGCACACACAGTGATGGAACACACTGCACATGGAGTCACTTTGAAGACACAGGCATAACCCCTTTCCCACATCAGGAAGTCCAGGGGTCCTTTCCATTGTCCAGTCAGTAATCCTTCACCAGCAATGGAGGTCTTAGATGAGCCTTTGTGTTGAAGGAATACTGTCTAACACACCTGCAGTCTGTTCCATCTCATCTGGATTTAAAAAACTGAGGACATTTAGCTAGTCTGTCATAAGGGCACTCCAACTCCACCTCTTTTTGTTTTTCAAGCATGGTTTTTAGGGTCCTATGGGCACACTTGACAATAGTTGACCCTGTGAGAGAGCAGGAAATGCCCGTATTGTGAGTCACACTCCATTGCCACAAGAAGTTATGAACTCACTCTGAGGTGTAGGCAGGTCCATGGTCCGATTTGATGGTGTCAGGAAAGCCCAGAGCGGCAAAACAGGTGAGCCAGTGCTGGATAGCATCATGGGCCTTCTCTCTGGTGTGAGCAGTCACCATTAGAAAATGAGAATATGTGTCAATGGAAATGTGAACATATTTTAAGTAACCAAACTCTGGGATATGGGTGACATCAGTTTGCCAAATGGAGTTAGTAGTCAAACCTTGGGGGTTAGTGCCTTCTGCTAAAGGAGCAGGAGCCATGCCATGACAGGAGGGACAAAACAACAGGATATCATGTGTTACAGTGTGCTCTGCCTATGCTTTGCCCCTTTTTGCCGGGACCCCTGTGACTCTAATCAGATAAGTGTGTGTTCTGGTTTGAAAGCAAAACCAGTGAGAGACTCCAAGTCAGAAATACAATTTATTGGGAAAAGGGGAAAAGGACAAAAATACATGCAATAATACAAAGGGAAAAACTACTGACAAAGTCAGAATACAACCTGGCCAGCGTGCTGGTAGCAGTCCAAATTGGAATAGCTGCAGTCCTCTTGGGATGGCAGATGTAGTTGCTGTGTCTTCTCGGAGAACCTGTGAAAAGGCTGCCCCTCTGTCTAGAAATCCCCAGTTTTATCCAGGTTGGAATGCCTAGCTCCTCCCCCCTGGGCAGAGCATCTTACAATGGGTCATTATGAGTCACGAGGTGTGTCCTTAATCACCTGCTCCTGGACAGTGTTATCTCTGAGTCATGTGGCAAGGCACTGATGGGGCTATTAACAGCAGATAAGGAAAACTGCCCCAAGGCAACTCCTACTCAGATGGTAAATAGGAAAACCTTCTTTTTTTAATCTTGGACAGTGTGGTCCTTTCCTTCCTGCTCTGATGGGGCTGTCGGAGAGACAGAAAGCCCTCCCTGTCCAGAGCCTAGATAAGGCCATGTCCCTTCCTGTTCACTCTCTTTCCCCCCTGATCTCACGGAATAAAGAAGCTGGACAACCACATTGGGGATAGAGCCTCTTTTGAATCTTTGCACATCTCCTGACATGCCCCGCTCAAGGCCTCGTCTATCTGGGCTGGCCTGGTAATTTGTGAGGCTGAGAGGGAGAAGCATCAATTGGCCCCCAATGTGGGTTTGCTAAAAGCCCACGGAGGAGCTGGAGCCCTTATTTTAGGGGTCTCAAAATCTCTTTGGGAAAGTCAACTACCCTGTTCCTTATCAGCTGCTTTTGAGTGGCTTGGAGTGACAGGGAGAAGTTGGGACCTTGCCTGAGTGCCCCAGGCAAGCCGGATGGAGCTGGGACCCCAGACGATTCCACAGATGACCCTACGGTTCCACAGGATTGGTAAGAACCCCTTCGTTTAGCATTTCCTGGGAGCACGCCTAGCTGGAAGGGGTGTTACCACAGTGACCGTAGGACGCTGCAAGCTTGGGTAAACTAGGAGACAGCGCACTCAACTTGAAATGGGCGGGCTTGGGGATCACATTGGAGAAGCTGCTCTGACTGAGAGACCCCGCGTTCCCAGGGTGGGGAAGCCACAGAAGGGGGTATCTAACCCTGGGACAGCAGTGGGGAAAACCCTGTACCCCAGGGGTGCCGAGAAAAAGACCAGGAGCCCCTCCGGCGGTGCGGTACCCACCACCACCCCACCCCCACCCCCCATCCCCCCCCACTTCCTGTGTTCTAAGACCGGGGAATTCAAAAACTCATGCTGAGTTAGTCTGGTGGTGGATAGTCCACCAATATGAGTAAAAAATGGGTGCGAAATTATCAGCGGACCAAAAGAGCACATTAAAACACCTTAACAATATTTTAACCAATGTTACATTCCCAAATAAGCTTCTACTGTGTTTCATATGCTGGTTAACAAAGGAAATACCAAATTTCACTGTGCAGGAAATTAATGCAATCTCATTTTAGAAGCAAATTGGACAGATATTAACTTTAAAAGTCGAAAATGGTGAACATAAAGCTTGTCTATTTATTCTGATATTTTAACAAGCTCGAAAACAGATTTTAGAAGCGGGAAAAAGCATACAGACACAGACTAACAGTCCAACTAACCCTTTTTCTAATTCTGATGCACCCCCCCAATACTTTGGTCCTGATATCACCTTACCCACCCTGTATCCCCCTGTAACACCTGGTTCTTCTGAGAAATATAGTCCGGACTTCTCCAAAAGTGCAAGGTTCTCTTCCCAGAGCCCTGGTGATGTGGCAGGGTCTCTGAGACCGGCAGGGCACATGCGGCAGCATAATGGTGGTGGCCATGTGCTTTTGCCTTCTTCTCACAATCCTCTCCTCCCCCCAGCCCCCCACACCTCCCCCAATCTCTTCCGGCCTCCGGCAGCACCGCCACTCCCTCCTTATCAGCAGCTCCCTCTGAGTTGCCACAGGAATGGGGGTCGGGCCAGTCTCGACACAACTCCCAGCGCTGGGGCCGGTCTCTGCACAGCCCCCAGCCCGGACCATGCAGGGGGGCAGCCGAACCCAG